GGGAGAACTGTGGTTGATATGTAAAATGAAAAAATAATAAATAAAATAAAATGTAAAAAAAAAGAATGTAGCTCCTAGTAAGTTAACTACTCTCCAGTGGGTTGTCCCATATCTATTAGTTAAAAGGCCACTAAATTGGAATCAAATAGGTTATCAAAAAAAAAAAAGAGGACAAATACAAAGGTAGAAGTTGGGAGGGTTGAGAGCAGATCTGAGAGGAGTTATGGGGAAGAGTAGAGAGTGATGATCCATATATACTATATGCATGTAGGAAGTTCTCAAAAAATCAATAACATACTTAAAACACAAAAAAGAATGAGGTGCATAATAACAACAACAACAATAATAAATTAACAAATGTAACATAAACTTAGCTATTTAAATGTTCCCCTAAAATCCAAGTGTCTCTTTGGAACTTATGTTTGAAGTTGTTATGAAAACTGAAGAAGCTAACCAGGCAGTGGTGGTGCAAGCCTGTAATCCCAGCACTTGGGAGGCAGAGGCAGGTGGATCTCTGTGAGTTCCAGGCCAGCCTGGTCTACAGAGAGAATTCCAGGACAGCCAGAGCTACACAGAGAAGCCTGGTCTTGAAAAACCAAAAAAAGAAAAGAAAGAAAATTGAAGAAGGCAGGTGTGATGGGGCTGTAATTTCAGCACTCTGGCGGTGGAAGCAGAAGATGTTATAAGTTCAAGGCCAACCTGAGCTCCAGAGTGAATTCTATGCCAGCCTAGGCTACAGAGCAAGATTTTTGTTTCAAATAGATAAACAAAGAAAAAAATCAATCCAAATGCTGGGCGGTGGTGGCACACAACTTTAATCCCAGCACTCAGTAGGCAGAGGCAGGCAGATCTCTGTGAGTTCGACGCCAGCCTGGTCTACAGAGCTAGTTCCAGGACAGGCTCTAAAACTACACAAAAAAAAAACCCTGTCTTGAAAAAAAAGAAAAAATAATCAATCCAAGAAAGAAAGGAAGGTGGGTGGGAAGAAAGAAAAGGGCTTAATGGACTGTTAAGATGAAACAAATTAAGGCCGGGTCAATTTTGGATTAGAAGTCAGGCATGTCTGACTCAAGTTTTGGCGTTTTGTTTTTGTTTATTTGCTAAGAACAGAATATCATGCATCTCAGACTAGTGTTGACCTTCTGGTGCCCCACCTCCACCTCCCACACACGGAGATCACAGGCATTCATCATCAAGCCCAGTCTGACTAGGGTTTTAAGAGAAGTCACAATATTACCTAGGATGCTCCTGACCCCATCCATCCTGTTCACTGCAGTATTCAATGTCCATCACTACCAGGCATCCAACGTGTGTCTCCCAGGCCACATATGGCCATATGCAACCAAGGAGGGCTCTGAATGTAACACCAAATGGAAACTCACCTAAAACATGGAGATTTTTGTTGCTGCTATGCTTGTGCAGTTCTAAAACATGAACTGCAGAGATGACAACATTATGTTGCAATATTTAAAGGTTGTACACTCCTGATTGAGTTCTGTGTGCCCAATATAAACTGGGCTGGCCAGAGTCTGGCATTGCCTTTAATGTGGTCAATTTTCTTGTCCTCTGAGATTGTTTTTCTCCCTTCAGAAATATGAGAGAACTTAGAAGGTAGAATCATTTCTACCTGTCTTCTTAATATCTAACTAGTGGACCACCTACAAGTATCAAAAAAAAAAATCAAACTTCTGTTAGGAAAAGGAAGCTGTAAGGTCACAAGGGTGTACAAGGTTTCTCCTATTCCCAGTGCATTCAATGAACACCTGAAAGGTCCTGTATCTCTATGCTAATATTCACAGATATTCACTCCAAAAAACTTGGACACTATTGGCATCTTGGGTCACCACTGTTTGACAATTCTAAAACCTAGGGCTAGAAAAAGAACAGGAAGTTATATTGAAGATATATCAGCCCATAAAATTTTCAAGACAGAACCTCAACCCAAAGGCATTCTGATAAGATGTCTATAGTTAGAGCTGGAGAGATGCCCAGCAGTTATGAGTCCTGGCTGTTCTTCCGGAGGATGTACCAGGTGGCTGACAATCATCTGCAGCTCCAGTTGCAGGGGATCTGATGCCCTCTCTGGCCTCCACTGGCACCACATATTCACAGGACAAGAGACATGCATGCAGTCAAAACATCTATACACATAAAGATAAAGATATATGTCTGTAGCTATGGGAACTAAAAGAGGCACAAAGACGTTTTCCATGAGTGTGTCAGGCATCTGCTCTCCTCCCATTTAAAAGATGGACTTATTTCCTGGCTTATAAAAAAATGACAACTATAGTAAGGAATGTGAATCAAATGTTTTTGCTTTAAATTAGGAAGGTGGTGTTTGGACATGTGGAAAGATACATGGAAATTTGGGGATTTAACTTACAGGTCTCTTGCTGTGGTTTGAATATATCTTCTCCCCTGTGAAACTAAGCTGGAAATTTAACACCCACTAGGAAATTTTAAGAGGTGGGACCAAACCTGGTGGTGGTAGCGCATGCCTTTAATCTCAGCACTCAGGAGGCAGAGGCAGGTGGATCTCTGTGAGTTCCAGGCCAGACTGGTCTTCAGAATGAGTTCCAGGACCACCAAGGCTGTTACACAGAGAAAGAAAGTTGTCTCAAAAAACAACAAACAAACAAACAAACAAACAAACAAAAAGAGGTGAGACTTAAGCAGGGCAGATGACTCACTGGACATAAAGCACCTACTACCGAACCTGAGGACATAGGTTCAATCGCTCAGACTCACAAGATAGAAGGAAAGAACCAACATTGGCAAGTTGTCCTCTGACCTCTACACATGTCATGGCATGCACATGCCTACACATATACACACACACATATGCAGACTGTCTTAGTTAAGGTTTCTATTGCTTTGACAAAACACCATGACCAAAAAGCAAGTTGCGGGGGGAACGGGTTTGCGTGGTTTACACTTCCACGTTGCTGTTCATCACTGAAGGAAGTGACAGCAGGAACTCAAACAGAGCAGGAACCTGGAGACAGGAGCTGATGAAGAGGCCATGGAGGGGTGCTGCTCACTGGCTTGTTTCACATGGCTTGCTCAGCCTGCTTTCTTCTAGAACCCTGGACCACCATCCCAGAGATGGCACCTCACACAATGGGCTGGGCCCTCCCCAACTAATCACTAATTAAGAAATGCCTTACAGCTGGATCCTAAGGAGGCATTTTTCTCCGGCCAAGTTCCTTCCTTTCAGAGAAGTCTACTTTGTTTGTCCAATTGACATAAGATGAGCCAGCACAAAGACTAAAGTAATAAATAACGTAGGAATAGTTTTTATTCAAAAGGAGGGGCAAGGTGAAACTTCTCTAGAGGATTTCAACGCAGCCCCCATTAATGAACTACTAGGTTCATTTCATGCATTGTAGCCCGATAGTTTCTCTGGTCTCATCCGGCCCCAAGGTCCCACAGCCGTTTATAAAATAATCATTCAGAGGCTTAATATTAATTACCAATTGCATGGTCTATGGCAGGCTTCTTGCTAGGCAGCTCTTATAACTTGACCCAATTCTACTCATCTCTAAGTTGCCACATAGCCGTGGCTTATCGGCATTTTCACATCTTGCTTCTCCTGGCGGTGCTGGTGATGCTGGCGTCTCTCTCCCATCTACCTTTCTTCTTCCTGTCTCTCCAGTTGGAATGTACCGCCTAACCTTATTCTGCCTCACCATTGGCCAAACAGCTTTATTTATCAACCAATCAGAGCAACACATAGTCACAGCATACAGAAAGATATCCCACGGCAATGCATGAGTTAATGGGTTACCTCTCGTGGATCTGCCACAAAAGCTAATGTGACTAAGCCTTTCCTGAACTCAATGCATTCCTTTTTTTTGTAAATTAGTGCACAGAGTGACGGATATTATAATGACATTTTCATACACATTTTGTTTTGATTGATTCTCTTCCCTCACTTTTCTCTTCTGCACCATCATTCCCCAGTAAAATCAAAATGAGGTAGTGACTGGAATTAGATAGGGTTCCCCTTATAGTTTGTGGTGTCATTCATTGAGTTGATAAAGCTGGGCAAGAGCAGGTGTGGATGGGTAAAATGGCCCAGTCCCCTTTCCACCTTCATGTCTCATGGATTCTGTGAACCGCTTCATCTGCTTCCTCACCCCGACCTGCCATGGTCTTCTCTCTCATTTCAGAACCTGTACCTATGCTCACTCCCACATACAAACACATTTATAAAAACTTGAAGTTAGAGTCCAAATATGGGTGAGAAATGTGGTATTTGCTGGAGTCTGGGATGCCTCAATATAATAATTTCCAGATCCATCCATTTGTACTAAAAATTTTCATTTTCCTTTTTGGCTGAATAAAATTATATGTCATAATGGGATGTATACCTCACTTTTTAACCCATTTAATTTGTTGAATTATTTCCTTGTTATTGTGCATAAAGCAGTAATAAACAAGAATCTGAAAGTAACTCTGTTATAGAATACAGATATCTATATGCTCAGGAGTGGTAGATGACTGCTCTATTTTCATCCTTTTGAGCAACCTCCCCATATCAACCTGCACCCTATTCCTTTTTGTGGCAGTGCTATGGTCTGTACCATCTCAGGACGTCAGCAATAAGGCCATAAGCAGATGGTACTCATGTTGGTCCGCAATGTTCAATCCAGAAAGACACAGACTGAAACATCTAGGAAAACCCATATGGAGAACACGGGGCTGTGGTCAGGAGTCCCTGCTTTGCATGTTAAACAACTTCAGGCCAATCTGATCTTCTCTGAGCAGAACGCAGAGAGTGCGGGAGCCTGGCTTCCTCCGAGCAGAACCCACAAAGAAGTAGTCTCCCTTCACCCTCTGGGCCACAAGAGAAGAACCGGGCAAGGACCCGTGTAGAGCCCCGCCCGGCCCAGGGACAGCACTAAGGGCTCTGTAGCCTCGGGGGAGGAGGAGCCTAAGGACGCTGGTGACCTGACTATACTGTGCTTCCAGCCTCCGGCACTCGACCCAACACCTACCATTTCCAGCCTCCGGGTTGTCTATGGTCCTCCTCAAAGTAACAAGGACCCAAGCAGGTTCACAGCGCGGCAGAGGTTTCGTCCCTGGAGTATTTGAGCTGCATACACTGGGTAAGGATAATGGCGATGTAAAAAAGGCCCGCACCTCTGCTTAAGGCGGGGCTCCTCCTCCTACAGACGAAGGATTGGATGATTTGCACAGCTCTAGCGCCTCTCATTTGCTAATGATTCAGGACCCGCCCTCTGGACCCTGAAAGGCTGCCGAAAGGCTCCTTCAACTAGCTGGAGTCTGTGCACAAACAGATCAGAGCATCAGCACCTTAGCAAGCTATTCTGCAGGCCTTTTCACCGGGTTCATATGTGTCTTAGACTGGGAATTAGTAGAATTTAAACAGAACTGGTCCCTGACTCTCCAGAGTAGACTAGTAGACTCTGATTTTCCTATCTTTACTGGCCCTTTCCTCTTTTTCCTACTGGAAATGAGGTCAGAAGTCGACTTGGGAAATTCTTTACTCCATGACTCTAAGACAATCCCTGATGTTATGTAGCAACTTTATTTGAATTAAAATATTCTCTTCTGGAGGGAGGATCATAAGACTCAGGAAGTAAAGGAAACATACACGGCCCAGAAAAGAAATTAATCTTAGAAGTTCTAGAGCAGTGGTTCTCAACCTTCCTAATGCTGCGACCTTTGACTACAGTTCCTCATGTTGTGGTGACCCCAACCATAAAATTATTTTTATTGCTACTTCATAACTGTGATTTTGCTACTGTTATGAATCGTAATGTAAACATCTGATATTTCCAGTGGTCTTAAGCGACCCCACCTCAGGTTCCCAGGCTCCTTGGCTCTCAATGCCTTCACAGGAAGGTATGGGCATACTATTGTTTTTGAAACATCTATTGGGGATGGTGACTTGGTTCAGCAGGTAAAGGTGCTTGCCATGAAAGTTGACCTGTGTTCGATCCCCAGAATCCAGGTAACAGTGGAAAGAGAGAACTGTCTCCACAAAAGTTGTCCTCTGATCTCCATGTGCACACTGTGGCACACATCCCACCACATACTAAATGATGTTGATGAGGATGACAATGATTCTTTTATTTTATTTTTAATTACATGTGTCTGAGTATAGAAATGTACTTGTAAATGCAGGTACCTGCAGAGGCAGAAGAAAGCATCAGATCTGGAGCTGGAGTGCCAGAAGTTGTGAGCCATCCAACAAGGGTGCTGGAGAGGTAACTGCAGTCCTCTGCAAAAGCACTAAGTACTCTAAACTACTGAACCCTTTCTCCAGAACCTAATTAGAATTTCTAAACAAAAGAAGCCTTGGAGCCAGGCATGGTGGCTCGCTTCTAAAATTGCAGCACTTGGGGAGGTGGGAGTTGGAGGCACTAGCATTAGGAACTGGAGGCTATTGTCAACTATGTAGCAAGTTCAAAGCTAACCTGGGCTACTTGAGAATCTGTTGCATGCCCTACTCCTACATACACAAAATAAAGACAAAAATAAAATAGTAAAAAATTAAGTTTTCACACTTAGGGATAGGATTTGAAACCTCATAAATGTACTGAGGGCAGCTGGGCGGTGGTGGTGCATACCTTTGATCTCAGCACTCTGGACCCAGAGGCAGGTGGATCTCTATGAGTTCGAGGCCAGTCTGGTCTATAGAGTGAGTTCCAGGATAGACTCCAGTGCTACACAGACAAAACCTGTCTTGAAAAACCGAAAAAAAAAAATGTACTGAGGGCTAGAAAGATGGTTCAGCAGTTAAAAGTACTTGCTCTTGCAAGGGACCTGAGTTTAGTTCCCAGCATACATTTCAGGTACCTCACAACCACCTGTAATTCCAGCTCCAGGGGAATCTGAAATCAGAGTACTTCTTTGTCTTCTAAGGGCACCTGCATACCTGCACAACTGCATACCCCCACACACACATAAATTTTAAAAATGAATCATAAAATGGATGGGAAGAGACTTACATTCATTTTGTTCACTTGCTCTTTAGCCTTGCATCATGTGAGGCTCAGTGTTTGCCTCTTCCAGAACATGTGGTATCATGGAGTCAGAGATAGGTCTTCCCACCAAACCCTGAACCAATAACCTTGATCTTGGAGTTTCTAGTTCTCAGAACTGTAACAAAAGGAAGTTTTCTGCTTTATAAATTAACCAATCATCACTAGCAACAACAATGAACCCAGAAAAGCAGATAGATAATTCTGAGTAAATGGGGGCAAGGAGTTGTTGGAAGTTTGGGGGGCTATTTTTGATTGACAAGCCAAGGAACTAGAAAACATTGACTGACATAGCTAGAATGTACACAGCAATCACCAGGTATGGTGTTGTGGTGGTTTGAAAGAAAATGGCTGCCATAGGCTATTAGGGAGTGTCACTATTAAGAGGTATGGCCTTGGAGTGAGTCAGGCTTTGTTAGAGGAAGTGAGTCACTGGGGTGTGGGCTTTGAGGTCTTAAATGCTCAAGCCATGTCTGTCTAGTATGACAGTCACTTCCTGGTTCCTGTGGATCAAGTAGAACTCTCAGCTCTTTCTCCATCCAGCACTATGTCTGCCTGCATGCTACCATGCTTCCCGCCATGATGATAATGAGCTAAACCTCTGAACTGTAAGCCAGTCCCAATTAAATGTTTTCCTTTATAAGAGTTGTAGTCATGATATCTCTTCACAGGGAAAAAAAAGAAAGGAAGAAAGAAAAGAAAAGAAAGAAAGAAAAATAAAAGTAGCTAGGACAGGTGCTTCAAATCTAACAAGTATCTCACTACTGTAAGCAAACAAACAACAACAAAAGTCACAACTATCCATCAGTTCACAAAGCAGAAAAGGAGACTAAAAATTCACAAGAAAATACTCTTATGAGTAACATACAAATAGAAGTCACTTGTTATTATCTTAGCATGCAAAATCAATAAGCATTATGCCAAAATGAAAAGGAGTAAATTTTTTTCCCATTAGAAACAAAGATAGAACCATGAAAAATATGTAAGTGACACCCAGAACCTCTACGCTTGAGGCCAGGAACCAAATTTCAACAAACAGCAAAGTTTTCATTTTAATCAAAGAACAATTTTGAAAACACACATTAAGTTAGCTGCCTATTTGAATCACATTTCATGCACCCATGAATCTAACTCACTTAAATGAAATGAAAACTGGTTGCGGTAATGACAGGAGACAGAGACAGAGGTGTCATGTGACAGAGGTGTTATTTCCTTGGTAGATACAACACACATGCCTACTTACCCCAGACAGGGAGCACAGAAAGTACGGATACCACTGAAGTCCTACTTGGTGAACCAACTGTTTAACTGGGGTTGCTTACAGAAATACAGGTGTGGGGTTACTAACCAGAGCAGAAATGACTCAAAGACAGCTGCATAACCAAAGATCACCCCAGCATGGGTGAGGCTCACAAAAACTGGAAACCTGGGGCACTCTGTACAGCCTGCAGGCAACTTAACATGTTGGACAAGATCCATTCTTTCCAAGTGCCTCTGTTGGTCTAATCCTCTTCCAGGCAGCTCCATTGGTTGCTGCTTCTTCCAGGTGGCTGGCTGTTCTGATCTCACAGTCTCCATTTTGGCTTGTCTGAGAGTGATTCTGAGCAGGTTTATTGTTTACTCTTGGAAGTCGGGGCCTAGTGAATCTGATCTTTTTTTTTTTTTTTTTTTTTGGTTTTTCGAGACAGGGTTTCTCTGTGTAGCTTTGCGCCTTTCCTGGAACTCACTTGGTAGCCCAGGCTGGCCTCGAACTCACAGAGATCCGCCTGGCTCTGCCTCCCGAGTGCTGGGATTAAAGGCGTGCGCCACCACCGCCCGGCAAATCTGATCTTTTTAATGGACTCTCTTAAGTTATTTGAGTTGTTCATCTTCTGGTTTAAGGAGCTGCCCAGCAGGATAGAATGTTTCCATCTAGGAGGAAACTGCTGCTAAACAATGAGTGAATGGTCAGTTTGTTGCCACCTAGGCCACAAAGAAAGCACCAGGCCACCAGCTGCAGTTTCATAGAAAGACTCTTTTGAACAAAACAAAACAAAATGGCTGGTGTCTTGGCACAAGCCTGTAATTCCAGTCCATGGATGGGGAAGCAGTGAATCAGGACTTCAAGTTCCTCCACAGTTTGAGTCCAGGTCAGGCTGTAAAAAACCCTGCTTCAAAACACAACAAAATAAAAAAGGAACAAGAACAGTTTTACCCTAAAGCTACTCAGTAAGCTGGGCATGAAGTTGGGTATTTGTAGTCCCAGTAACACAGGAGGCAGAGGCAGGAAGATCAACAAAACCAGGGAATTCCCGTGTAGCATCAGCATCATAACATTTCTCTCTAGGGCCTGGTTAAATGGCTCTGCGGTTATGTGGCCCAAGATGCTCCAGTAATCTCTACACACTCTAGGAAATGCAGGTTTCAGGTGTGGGGTTGCCAAGAGGCCTGCAGGCTGAATCTAAAACAGATGTGCAGTGGGACAGATCTGAAGAGCTGTAGGCCAGATATCACCATAAAGCTACACACCCCAGGGCAGTAAGGGCTGTCCACATACTGCCCACAGCCAATTCCAGCCAGATCCTACTTCTCTGGAAGCCTGATCCCACACAATCATTTCCCAGCCTTTGAGTCTCTGGGTGTCCTTCCTACTCAGTCCACAATCAGTGGAAGTCACAGGCTGTAAATGCTACACACCTCTGAGGTGGAAGCGTTGCTGGTCTGAGAGGGCAAGGTATCCTGGCAGTCAGGAGTCAAGGAATGCCAGAAAGTCATGTAACACAACAAACCTCACGTGAGATTTATTGGAAGAAACTCCAGAGAGTGGCTGCTGTGGTGGTATTTTACTTGTACTGAAATGTGATTTTAATTGTATGTTAATAAATAAAGTTGCCTGGGGGTCAGAGCTATTAGAGCCATAGCAAGTGCATGACGACGCACGCCTTTAAGGACCTGGAGGGCGGTACATTCAGGCAGTGACGAGGCAGTCACATGTTTGGGTTTACAACCAATGAGAAGGCAGAACAGAAAGACTATAAAGACATACACACAGGAAGTAGGTCCCCTTTTTCGGAGAGCTCTCTTGGCTGAAGAGGTTCCCTGAATCAGGAAGGGTGAGGCTGTTAGCTCTGACCTCTTGGCTTTCTTCTCTGAATCTTCTCTGTGTTTCTTATTTAATAAGACCATTGGGCCGGGCGGTGGTGGCGCACGCCTTTAATCCCAGCACTTGGGAGGCAGAGCCAGGCGGATCTCTGTGAGTTCGAGGCCAGCCTGGTCTCCAAAGCGAGTTCCAGGAAAGGCGCAAAGCTACACAGAGAAACCCTGTCTCGAAAAACCAAAAAAAAAAAAAAAAAAAAAAAAAAAAAAAAAAAAAAAAAAAAAAAAGACCATTGGTTACATCTACAGGCTGCCTCTGCTGGGGTAAGACAATGCAAGGAAATTGAGCAGGAGACAGGCTTATAGGAGGTTTCTTGGGGGCAGACTTTTCCAGGGTGGAGATTTCCAGGGTGAGAATTGGTGGGATTTCAATTTCAACAGGACCTTGGGGCAAGCCCAGGGATTGGTGGGATTTTGAGCTCAGGGATTGGTGGGTTTTGATGGGCTTTTAAACCCAGAAGTGAGCTGGAACCTTTTACCCTACACAGACTAACTGACACACAGGCGACAAGGAACCAGACCCCTAGAACACCACCCACAAGTTGTAAAACTTCCGCACCTTCTCCTCACTTTCACCTTGATTGGATGCCTTGTTCAGCCTTTATGCTCTGATTGGCTGTAGACTTTGGGTCCACACTCTCCAGGTGGCAGGACACCTAAGCTGGGAAGGATGAGAGAACTTTGGGAACCATCACAACTGCTCCTACTGTCAGGACAACCTACTCTCAAACTCACCAGTACCAGCACCAGCTCCTTAGCTCTTGAGCCTGACAGGACACAAAGCTGAGCAGTCCAGAACCTCTGTACGATGGCACCAAAAAGGAGTGATTCTGATTGGTTTAGAAGGCTTCTATGGAGCCTCCTGAAAGCCCAGTTCTCTGGGACCAGGCCTCAGTAGCCTGGAACCAGAAAAGCAGCTCACTGGCCAAGCTTTTCTTATACAAAAAGAAAGCCAGGCACTATGGAGGCAGAGGCAGGTGGATCTCTGTGAGTTCCAGGCCAGCCTGTGTAGCATGAATCTAAAGAGTTCTTATTAATAAAATCAAACCTGAGGCCAGGTATTGGGGTGAACACTGGAAGATCAGAGA